ATCCATCCATCCATCCATCCTTCCAGACGTACCTGTACATGCCACCACGACGCAGCGATCTGTTGCAAGCCCCAAAATCAACACGTTTGAAGCCACATGAGGGATTCTGTCTGGAGCTTTAAGCTCTAAGCTCTAAGCATTACCTGGTAAACCCAAGCCAATTCAACGACCTGAAGCCAAACTCCCAACAGGGTCCGTCCTCACATGACCACGTGTCATCCGTGGTGTTAGCAAGCTGAAGTGATGACACCATCGAAACCCCAACCCTCACACCGTAAACATGAAGCCCTAATGTAGGAGCCGTAATAATTAGAAGAGGGTTCTGGGGTATATTATACTCGACCCATAATGAGGAACCCCCCCAAAACCCCATTCCAATTATTCAGGCCCCTATACTAGGACCTCGAAGTTAAGCCTTCAACTTGAAGAAACCCTGACCCCTAACATCTCTCAAATCCCACCCGACCAGAAAAGACTCCCAAAAGCACAGCACACTCCTACAGTAGCGGTGGAAGCCTGGAGAACCGCAACCGTCGAGGCCTCTCGTCACTTCAGGCTGCCTCAGCAGGCGGTGCCGACCTAGCAGTGGAGATCCCATTGCCAGGAGCCCCAACAAATCAGTTTAGGGTTTAGGGTTTAGGGCCATTGCCAGGAGTATCCCCAACAAGTCACACTTTGCAAAGGGCTGACATGCTTTCTTGATGTGTTGTTTACGCAGGGGCTGAGAATATCTGACCTGTAGTGTGCTCCAGGCTGAAACCCCAAACCCTAAACCCGACCATCCTAAACCCTCAAACCCCAGCACCAGGTAATCCTACCATCCGAAATCCTCAAACCCCAGCACCAGGTCACGGTGGGATCACTCCGAGTATTTCGACCCAGAGGGGAGCATGGGCTTGGCCAAGGGCTCAGATCTTGGTTTAGGGTTTAGGGGTTTAGGGGTTTAGGGGTTTAGGGGTTTAGGGTTTAAGGTTTAGGGATTTCCCTTGACAGGGTTGGAGCAAAGGCTTCCATAAGGGTTTAGGAAGGTTTGAGGGTTTAGGGTTTAGGACTGGCTTGCGGGCTTTCGGGTTCAGGGTTTTAGGAGTTTTCCGGGTTCAGGATTCCGGGATCTGAAGCCTTCGATCGTGGCTTTTTAAAAGGAGGGGGATCCTGAAGTTCTGCTTTGCTGTTTTTTTTTGCAGCTCTTGCCATGTTTAGGGTTGAGGGTTTAGGTTTTAGGTTTAGGGTTCAGGGTTTAGGACTTCCTTTATCCTAGGGGGGTGGCTTTCTCTAGGGCCTTAGGGAGGGCAGCTTCGGGTTCTGGCAGCCGGCTCGTAAGGGTCGCAGGCAAGATCTTAAGGTTCCCGGATAAGGACCACCCTGCCAGAGAATAATTAACAATGCTATTTTTGAGGGTTCCTTCTTATATATTTATAGTGTGGAGATTTATGTTTTAGGGGTTTGCCCTGTCGGGGATATTAGGCAATTACACCCACTTTCACCATGTTCCTGACATGGAGGAGCACAAGCCATCTTCATGGCTCGACCAAGGGATCCAACCCTAAACCCAAAACCCAAAACCCTAAACCCTAAACCCTGAACCCCTAAACCCTAAAACCTAAACAACCCAGCCCTGGCACTCATGTGAAAAGGCGTTTAAGGCGACAGCTCCTGGATTGAAAGCTGTCCTTAATGCCGTGAATCCTTGTAAGTCCTAGGTAGAATTAGGGGGACCGACCCTTCTGAACTCAACTTATGGCTCTCTTCAAAGGGACCTTATTGAGAGAGGGTGTATATCCCCAAGGGTCCAAATGATCCTAACTCCCAATAGGAAGCCCTTCAAGGGTCATTCAAAAAAAGCACAACCACCCCGCCTCAAACAAAAAACACAGAGGTACCCTAAGGCGCTTACACAGAGAGCCCTCGTCCCTTTACGCCCTGAGCCCCAAACACACTAAACTCCTCCACAATTGTGGAGGGGTTTACGGTTTAGGGTTCAGAATCCTTTTCAGCCCTTTCACCACCCTTAGAAAGCCATGTGTAGAAATCCATGTATGATGTCCCCAAACCCCAAACCCTGAACCCAAACCCCAAACACCAAACCCGAAAACCTACACCCTAACCCAGGGGCTTTCCGACACCGCAGACGGAAAAAGGTTTGCCTAAAACAACACCTGTACAATTTCAAACCCTCAGCCCTAAAACCCGAAGACCCTAAACCCTAACCCCTCAACC